AGTCACGGTCCATGCCTAGATGGAGACTTTCTAGTGAGACCTTAGGAGGGGAGCGCCCACACTCTAACCCCTTACCCATTACTCTGTAAGTAAGCCCAATAAGCTCTCTGGTTTTCCAAACTGCAGTTTGGCAAAATTGTACTTTGCTTTGTCATAGCAACTCAAGGGGGACAGGGCAGGGGGTGGACATTGTTCATGCCTCCAGAAGGAATTTTAGCAACAGACTTGCAGCCAAGAAATTTACTACACTCATTTCTCTCAAGGAACCAAAGAAGGAAATATGTTTACTTGCTTCGTGTTTGCTTTTAAAACGCAACAGTGGGCACCTAGCCATCAGTCTGACTCTGGAGTCTCAGGGAAGAAGGGGTAATCGGCAGGACAGATGTCAACTCTCCTGAGACCACTGTTCTAAAGACAGACATCAGCACCAAGAGCCCTATCCAGTCCTGTCCTTCCTATTAGACCACCCACACGTCCTTCCCACGTGTTGCCCTTCACATGCTCACTGCCGAGAATGGACCCTGAATCTAGAATCTGTCAGTCACATACTTGGTTCTGCTGCTGTCTTCCTGCTGAACTTGAACAAGGTAACTGTCTCTGCCTCAGTTTCCTTGTATGTTTATCAAGAGTCTGGGGTCTGGGAATCCTGTGATGAAGAGGCCCTCTGAACTCCAGTTTCCTCATCTGTGCATTTTGAAGAATACAGTCTGTCTCACAGGCTGGTTGAGAGAACTGGAAGAAGAAAAGTGGGAACCCATAACAACTTTAAAAGAAGTTGAGAATTAGAAAAGACAGCATATCAGAATTTAGATGGACTGCAATTCAGACCACACTTGTCGAAATATATTCCTTTGAACACATTCCATAAAATACACTTTGGTGAAAGCGTTTCCAGGGCCTTAGTAAGTCCAGGAAGCTGGATTTTCCAGGCAGTTACAGAGATAGAGGACTCAGAGGAACACTGAGGAAAACAAAACCAGCCACAGATCTTTAATCTAGCATTTCCCAAACTCATTTCCCTCAGAGAACCCCATCCCACCGCAGAAGCTCCACTTTGGTTTTGGTTTTGGCTTTAGTTCCAGGGGTTGAAGCCAGGGCCTTATATGTTAGGCAAATGCTCTACCACTGAGTTATATCCTCAGTATAAGCTCCCACTTTGATCCAAAGAACTGAGGGTAATGGTTGTATTCTATCCCTGCCCCCGTTCTAATGGGCAGAAGGGCGTCTTGGGGAAGCAAGGAGATGAAGAGGGAGGGGCAAAAGAGGGGAAGAACTCAGGTATTCACTACTTGGTCCTCTTTTCTTCCATCAAGGTCGGATCAGATCACTTGGAAGTCACATGTGGAGGTTCCTAGAACTCTGCTTGGCATGATTAATAGCGCTCTGAGCACTGCTAACTTTCCATAATGGCATTGTTTCCTCGGGGGACTAGTTCATGAAGAGAACAGAACAGCATCCATTCGGATCTCTCAGATGACAATAGCAGAAGTAGTTAGGTTATGACCTGAGGATGGGTCTGAAGTACTGTGGCCCCACATCAAGGATTAAAAATGATCACATATTTCGCTGAATAGAGAGAAACCCATTGTTCAGAGGTCTACAAAAAAGAAGAGTGGGGGAAGTTAGGTTAATTGTTTAAGAAGCACAAAGACTCAGCAACAGAATGGGAAACCTGATGTGAAGAAAATCTCATCTCTTTAACAGTTGAGAAAATTAAGGTTCTGGGGACAGAGTAACATGGCCAGGCCCACTGGCAAGTGGGCAACAGAGCTGGGACCAAGCCATCTAAACGTAGGCCTCTGAGCCCTGAGTTCAGCAGGAAGGGGAAAAGCTAGGATCCAAATGAAGTCAGGAAAGGACAAGGGGGAGGCATGGAAGGAGAGAGGGAAAGAGGGAGGGAGGGAGGAATAAGGGGGAAAGAGAGAGGGACACATAGTCTGGCAGTCTCCTGGCAATGAAAATCAGCTGCCCAGCCTCAGGTAACTGGTAAATCATAGTCTGACACTCTCATTCTTCTCCCATCCCCAAAACTTCAGGGTCTCCGCATCCCTATGGTTTTCGAGAGCAGCCATTTTTAAAGTAGCCAGTCCCTAGCCCTCAGTTAGCTCAAGTTAAGTGCTCATCCAAGATAATGGCATAAAGTTTTTCTGGTAGGGATTTAGAACTTTGGAACTCAAGAGAGCTCCAAGTCTCTCTGTGGAGAAAATGCTGCCAATGCACCTGGAGATCCCTGTGGCTTTTTATGTTTCCTGTATTGGGGAAAACTTGTCTTGAGAAAGAGACAGCAACATGAGGCAAGAGATGGACATAGATAGTCCCTATGGGGTTTTCAAGTCTCTGATGACAGTTCCCTATGGTTCTTGTCTTACCTAGCTTTCCACTGCTGTGGTCAAATTACCTGACAGACTGGGACGGTAGCAATGACTTGGCAGTTAAGAACACTTGGTTGCTCTTGCAGAGGACCTGGGTTCAGTTCCCAGCACCGCAACTCACAACTGTCTTTAACTCTAGTTCCAGGGGAATCTGACACCCTCTTCTGACTTCTGCATGCATTGCACGACATGGATGCACTTATACATGCAAGCAATACACATACACATAAAATAAACATAATAAAATATAAAAAATATCTGACACAGACATAAAATATATATTTTGATTCATAGTCATGGGGTTTATTTCACCTTATCAGGGGAGACATACAGTAGAACAGCTCAATTTACATTTACATTGTGGCAGACCAGGAAGCAGAAAGGAAGCCAAGGATAGTCTGCCTCCAAGGATCTGTACCCAGTTACCTACTTCCTCCACCTCTCAAGGTTTTCAGAACTCTCCAAACAGCATCTTCACCCAGAGACTAAACATTTATGTCATGAGCCAATAGAGACATTCCACGTTCGCACCATAACAGTTCTGTGAGCTAATGCATTCCTCATCTTGCTTAGGCTTGTTTAGTTTGAGTTTCCTCACAGATAACCATGAGTCCTCTTTGATGTGTAGGCTCTCTATGAATAATGCTTATTTGGAGATGCCAGGGGTTGGAGATGCCTGGGGTTACAGATGCCAGGGACTAGAGATGCCAGGACTGGGTTCCCAACTGACTGGGTCAGGCAAATTCTCAAGGACAATTGGAGAATTTAAAGAAGCAGAGCAGTGTCTCACCACTGCTGAAAATACAACCTAGGCTCAGAGTCAGTCAAACTGGGGGTCAGGCAGGAGAGGGATGGAACTCCTAGCATGTGCCCTGAGAGAAGCCAGCACTCTCAGCAAGGGGTCATATTTCAGGAGGAATAAGGCCTGAAGTGCCTTTGCCTGAGGGATTAGAGGAATCTGAGCAGGGAAAGGGAATCTTAGGCTTGCTCCTAAGAGTTTGGAGGCACAGAACAAATCAAGGCCCAATGTTCAAAAGTTAAATATAAAGTTATAGAAGGCATTTGATGCCGAATATTCTGACCTCCTACCAGGCTGGTTTATATGCTTTATTATTAGAGTCCCCAGAGCTCTGTCAAATATGTCAGTGGCAGGGAGAACCCACTCTGGCTCACAACCCCAAACTTACTCTCCTTTGTCTCTACTCTTAGCTTTCATGGGTATTTAGGTGCACGTGCATGGACATTCTCCTAGCCAGCATGTTCAATGTCTGCCTCACCCCAACAAATACCTGCCCCTTAGCCATGTCTCTGGGCCTGGAACTGTGCAGTCTCTTCGGGTTGGTGGGACTGCCATACAGACAGGCATGTATTTGGGTAAACCTTTCTTCTGGGTCCTATGGCTTCCCTGTCCTGAGGAGAGGGGCATGACCAGAACAGGGCTCCCCTTGCCCAGGTCTAAAGTACATAATGCTCATGGGTGACCAGAGAGCAGGAGGCAAGTCCTAGAAAGTCCTGGGCTTGGGAGGCCCAAGAGTCTTCTGAGTTTTGCAGTTGTGTACTCTCTGCACTTCAAGGCAATGGCTTTATGTTAGAGACAGTGACCTACAGCCCAGTTTGGGGGCCAAAGTAAGATTTGAGTTTTGAACTGGATGTGGTGGTACACCTGTAATCTCAACACTTGAGAGGCCAACTTAGGCTACATGATGAGTTCCCAGTACATAATGAGCTCCAGGCTGACCAGAGCTACATAACAAGATCCTGTCTCTCTCTCTTTTTTTTTTTTTTGAATATTTGTGTAACTTGGGGTACAACATTTGTTGGTCTTCCCAGAGGACCAACATTCTCATCTGTAACGAAGGCTGCGCTTCTCCAGGATGAGTTCACTATCTGGCAGCTGTTTTTCTTCTTTTTCTGGTTGACACCAGCAGGGAAGTACAGCTTAACAATGGCCTCTCCACAATAATGTTTGGAAAGTGAGCTACTAGCCCTATAATTCATTCCTATAGCAGAAAGTCAGTCTTGGTGGTGGTTATATCTGTGGTGACTGGGGATGTAGCTCACTGGCACACTTGCCTGGCACACACAGGGTCCTAGGTTCAATCCCCGCTTAAAAATGATAGATGAGAGGGGGTGGGGGAGAGAGAGAGAAAACTCTAGAATTTCTCATATCATTCAGCAAGTCAGTTAATTTCTTGGAGCGTCAGCTTCCTTATTGGTAAAATGGATGGTGATGGTGTCTAGTCATAGGGTGTTAGGAATAAATGGGTGCCTACATCTGTCTACCTGACAAAAAGCACACTAGTGAAGTCATCAGCTGTGTTTCTCAAAAGCCTTCCTGTTCTCTTGCACTGCCCTCAGCCTACCTGGAGGCAGATACCTTCAGTGATATTTGGGGGCAGCTCTAGGACCACTAGCTGTGGCCACCTCATCTGGGCTCCCTCCACACTGTGAAATATTGGCCTCCCAGGAAGAAAATTAAAAATCCTGTTTGTTCTCTTAAATTCAAGCTCTAACTGCTTTGGGATGGAGCCCACATGGGTTGAAATCATTTCTTGCTTTGTTCTTTTTGTTTCTCCTGGGCAAAGCGTACTCTCACTCAGACCTTTCAGTTACACGGGGAAGAATTTCTCAAGAAAAAGAAATAGCACTCAAACAGGGAAACAGCTATTAGGTCAGTATTCCTTCCTTCTGGGAAGCTCTGCTTCCTTTTCCTTCGTGAGGAAATTCACATCGAACAAGTCAGAGCCAATAATAGATAAATCTGGTTTCTCTCTGGGAGCAGACACGCAGGCAACCTCATGGCACCGGAGAGTCTGGTAAATACTGGGCCACTTGGGCTCCGGCACCTTCCGGCAAGGCTTATTCTGTGCTGGCAACAATCTGGTGGAAAAGAACAAGTGTGAAGATTCTTTGGGTGCCTCGGGGCTGTGAGTGCCCCTGCTGCAACAGCAGACCCCACAGAGCAGCCCAGCATTCCTTCCAAACACCTACTTTTGTGTAGTCCCTTCTGCTTGGCTTTCTGTCACTGACACTTTCCTTCTGGTCATTTCTAGATGTTTTGGAAAGCCACCTACTTCCACCCTTGATAATTCTGTTTTCGCTGCTGCCCCAATTCTGTTTCAATTACACTCAACTACTCAAGGTTCCCAGAACCCCCTCCTTTAGGGGCTTTGCTCTTTCTTACTTCCACTCTTTATTTTTAATTGTGGGAGAATCTACATTGCATAAATTGACCATCTGAACCAAACACACCACACATTATGTACAGTCACAGTGCTGGACAGCCATCACAACCATTCATTTTTAGAACTTTGTTTTTCTTCTAGTTTTTTGAGATAGGGTTTCATAGAAGCTAGCCTGACCTCTGACCTTGAACTCTCTATATAGTTGAGGAAGACACTGAACTTCTGATCCTCCTGCTTCCACCTCCTAAGTGCTGAGATTACATATATGTGCCATTAGGCTCTGCTCCAAAACTCTTTCACCTTAGAAAATGGAAGCTGTACACATTAAACAAAATTCCCTCATTCCCTCCTCCTCAGTCCCTGACAACAGCCACTCTAATTTGTCTCTAGGTGTCTGTTCTAGGTTACCTCATGCAATGAGTTATGCAGTATTTGTCATTTTGCAACTGGCTTGTTTCATATGGCACAATATCCCCAAGTTCATCTTTGGGGTAATATCTCTATTGCCTCTTAAATTTCCCTTTAACATGGCCATATCCTGCTCATCTTTCGGGTATCAGCATGAATTCCCCCATCCAAAGACCCTCCCTCCCAATTTCCCCTATGACAGTGCTCCCACAATGCCTTGTGCTTTTTCCATTAGGCAAGAGCCAAGCACTGAAGCGATGGAACCTGACTCTCTCTCTACAGCTTTCCCTGAGGTACTCAGGGTCAATTTCCAACAAAATCCTAAATGCTTAGGGACCTTAACCCTGCTTCCTGTAGCTGGGGTTTGCCTGGCTGTCCTTTAGTTCTCTGGTTTCTCTGGTCTGCCCTACAGCCTTACCCTTTACTCTATGCACATCTCTGCCCTACCCTTTATTCTCAGCACATCCCCTCAGGTCATCTATTCACCTCCTTGGCACCATTTCTCTGGATTCCCAGTCATCTTTCTGTGCCTCACCTCACCCTGCCAGCCTGAGAAGCACCCACTTCCTGATATCTCTGCTTCTTTGTGTTTAAACAGATGCCAGGCAACAGGTGTAGCACTAACCTGGGGGCTACATTCTGCAGGTGATGTCACAATCATCTACCACTTGCCCATGGCATCTCTGTGTTTACAGTAGGTATATTCTATGCCCTTTTCTTTCTATGCTCACATAAAAGTCTCCCTCCAAGGTACAGTCTTGGAGGAAAGCTGTAGGAAAGTTAAAGAGCAGTCTGGCCCTATTTCTGCCTTGCCACCTACTGAAGATTTAACCTTAGCAAATAGCACTGTCTCCCTAAGCCTCAGTTTCCTTTTTGAAAGAGATCACAAAAAGGGCATCTTCATAGATAATGTGAAAACTGAACAAAATATTTTTGAACTCACTGTCCAAATGTCTGAGATGGCCTCAGGTGGGAGGTCCTCAACATTTGGGCCTCATTAAGACAGTCTAGGGAGGAACACCTTGTTGTAGGAATATTAGTGGATCTCCCCTTCCTCCTACCTGTGGTCTTCCTTCTTGTTCTCTACATGCAGTCAGGCTGCCTGGGGAAAGCTTGATTTGATTTCCAGGGAAGCTGTGCTTAAAGAATCACTGTGGCAGATGCAATCCTAAAGGAACCAATGGCTGAGTGACTGTGCAAATGCCCACAGCCCTGTGTCTGCTTCCATCTTGGAGGTAGCTTTTGTCTTTTGTGTTTCTGCCTGAATAAGGTGAGGCTTATGTTCCACCAGAATCAGCTGTTTGTTTTCAAACCTGCTGATGCCAGTTGTATACTTTATTGTGATTACAAATTTATTTGAAGAAAATGAAATTTTATTAAATTGATGTGAAAATAATGGAAAAAGAAACCTTGTGAAGGCTCAGACAGAGTCTTTGAAAAGAGTAGCTGGCGGGTGATAAGGAGTTCAGAATAAACAGCTGTTAAAGCTTGGAGAAATTATAAAATTCTGGGAGGATTGTACTTAGATGGCTTTGCAAATGTCTTCATGTTCTTGCTCTACTTTTATAAAAGCAGAAGTTGAAACTCATTTATAATGCATTGTGGAAGACGGCACTGAATGTCAAAAGATTGGTGAATGAATGTACATCTTACTCTTGCAAACTGAAATGAAATGTTTAGAGAATGTGTCCATCATTTCCAATGGTTCCTGCCTTAGAAGGCATTTATTTTTAAATTAACCCAACAAAGACTGGTGGTGATAGAGTAAGATCCACCCAACAGACCCACTGCCACCTCTCTTCTACTGTTTGCCTGACCCTTTACATCCAACTGTGTAGCCTCTCACTGAACAAACACAGAGAATCTAACCCAATTCTGAATTTTAGAGTCAACTTTCTGCCATTCCATGCTGCCTATATCTGGACCCTAGAGAGTCAAACAACATCTACCGTGGCCTCCTGCTGTGCTTGTTTTTATGTTGTTTGGAGCCTTTTCCCACCTCATCTCCTACAGCAGTGTCTCTGAGGAGAGAGGCAACTGAAACCAAAAGAGGTTCTGTGGGGAATGATGCTCATTCTGTAGCTGCTGGCCTTGCTAAATCCATTAACAGAGATGGTAATGCTGATGATGTCAGTGGACAGGGTAGGAACCTTCTCCTTTTCTAGTCTCCAACCCCAACACACCATGACATTCACCATTTGATAGATCCCATACCATCTTAGGAAATCTCTAAGTACATGTGCTGGTTACTTTTTGTCAACATGACACAAACTGGAGACATCTGGGAAGAGGGAACCTCACTGGAGGAATTTCCTTCATCAAATTGGTCCATAGGCATGTCTGTGGGGTCATTTTCTTGATTGCTGGTTGATGTAGGAGTGCTCAGTTGGGGAGGTGGGCCTGGGATTTATAAGAAAAGTTGTTGGGAGACCTCTGTTATGCAAAAGTCGAAGCCCCTTCACACCGGACAGCTCATGCAGCTCGGGGAATGTGCCGCGGGCTCCTTTTCATAGCAAGGTGCTTTCTGGCATCTTTCCTGTCTCTCCCTTTGAAGTGGCCGCACAGATGCCTTGACATAAACATGGCCTTTGGCTCTATGCATACCATGCCTTCCTGTGTGTGATTTTTACAGGTAGACAATAGTCTAGCAGAAACCCACTTCCACATGTAAATAGAATATCTCACAAAGTATCTAAAAGCTTTTACCACTACCCCCATGGTATATAAATATGCTAGTCTTCTCTTAATAGTCGGAGATCAGGCCAGAGACTGGGAGATCAGGTCAGAGACCCGGAGATTGGGTCCCAGAAAGCTGGATCAGCAGAGAGCTGGAAAGCAAGGAGCAGAGATACAATAAAGCAGTAAACACAGACTAAGCCGTGCCTTGAGTCCTGTGTCTTACTACCGGCGACCTGATCTCACCGGAGAGCAGCACTCTCCGTTACCGACCCACGGATATCCTAGCTTTCGCCGCCTCCGTGTTTCTTCCCTGTGGAGTTCACTGGCCAGGACTCCGCAATCCTGAGGAAGGGCATAAGGGTGTAAAAGAGGCGGAATCCCGACTAGATAATACTCTAGTAGCAGAAGAAGCTCTCCGCTCCAGAGAAGTGTGTAGCTATCAGCTACAGCCAGCATCAGAGAAGTCTTTACACCTGCCGTCTCCAGAGAGGCGCAGCCGGCCAGGCCCGCCAGCCGCTAGCTAGCCAGCGGGACCAGAACCACAGCGGGAGAGTGCACGTACACCTGACCCTGGGCCACATCCAGAGTGAGTGCGCCCGGGAGCCCAGGCGCGCTCCCCACATCGCCTGCAGCCAGACTCACGCCGGGATTAGCCAGGTGTGGCGGAGACCCCAGGGTGCCCGCACACACCACGCCGGGGGTCAAGCGACACGCACCATAATAAGTCTTCGCACCTGCCGTCTCCAGAGAGGCGCGGCCGGCCAGGCCCGCCAGCTGCTAGCTAGCCAGCGGGACCAGAACCACGGCAGGAGAGTGCACGCACACCTGACCCTGGGCCACATCCAGAGTGAGTGCGCCCGGGAGCCCAGGCGCGCTCCCCACATCGCTTGCAGCCAGACTCACGCCGGGATTAGCCAGGTGTGGTGGAGACCCCAGGGTGCCCGCACACACCACGCGGGGGGTCAAGCGACCCGCCCCATATCAAGTAGCTGATGGCCCAGAGAGATGGTTCATCTGTTAAGAGGACTGGCTACTCACCCAGAAGATATGAGCTCAGTTCCCAGCACCCACATGGTGACTAACAACTGTCTATAACTCCAGTTTCAGGGACTCTGGCTTCTGTGGACACTGCATGCACATGGTGCACTTACATACATGCAGGCAAAACACTCATACACATAAAATAAAATAAATAGATAAAATATTTCTAAAAAGAGAAGTAGCTGAGCAAACCAGGGGAAAGCAAACCAGTAAGCAGCGTTCCTCCATGGTCTCTACTTCAGTTCCTGCCTCTAGGTTCCAGCCGTGAGCTCCTGCCTTGGTTTCCCTCAATTATGGACTCTTGAGCTGTAAGCCAAATAAAATCCTTCCTCCCCAAGTTGCTTTTGGTCAGTAATTTATCCCAGTCACAAAAAATAACTAGAATAATATAGGAACAGGAATTTGAAATGACTTACTTGAGGTTACATCAACTGTAACTCTGTAAAACCATGTCTATGCTTTCTCACAATCCAGCTATTTGACCCAACCAGACTTGGGATTCATGGCCTCCAGACCTGTTCTGGTACGATACACATTATGATAGATGGGAGTTTCTACCTGACAGACCCTCTGACTCTAACAACAACCAAAGCATTTCTCTTTTACCTCTGGGACAGAGCTTGCTAGTTCTCTACCCAAACTCCTTTCTCGCCCTCCTCTCCTTAGTCATGGAACTCTCCGCTTCTTTTGAAACCAGCTGTAGCCATGTGACTAAATGTTGACCATTAGGATGTGAATAGAAGCTCCTAGAAAATTCCATAAAGGATGTTGAGCCAACCGGAAGGTGCAGCTTTGTGCCTGGATCCCCACGTCCTATGTTCTTGTTTGTTCTTCTAAGGGTGTAGGTAGAAGGCAGGAGTTCCCTGGAGCTGTCTAGCTGTCTTTATTGTGAGGTGACTGTCAAGATGGAAGCAGGAGCTAAGGTAGTGACACAGCTATATAGAGAAGGCACTTGGGCTCTTGAAGTCCTATATAGAGATGGCACATGGTGGGGGTCATCACTTGTTCCAGGCTCTAAATCCAAATTCTACAATGAGAGGATCAGCAGGGGACATTGACAGGGCTGTTTCTTTGGGCCTCTGGTGACTGGGACCTACACATATAATGGGACATAGAGAACAGAACAGCTTATAGAACTGGAGAGAGGCATTCATTCACCCTGCTTCTCTGGAGAACCTGCCATGTCCCAGTGCACAGGGACCTGGAGTGGAGTGCATACAGGGCCTTTGAAGCACCCCGGGATTTGCAGCTTTGAGAGCCTCCTTACCCCAGGCTCTTGGGAAATCAGAGGGATTGTAAGAGGTACCTGTGAGAGAGATGGTGAGGAGCTTGCATTGTGGGCAGCAACATCAGCCACAGAGCTCATGGGGGAAGATAAAAGCTTGGCCTTTTGTCATGTGTGATGACTAGATAAAACTGGGGGTTCTCTAGAGAGTCTGGAATCATGTAGGTAGGGCATCCAGTGGGTGAGACTCAAGTAGTGACCTCAGTTATACTAGAGGACCTTAGAGACAAGTGAAATATGTAGGTGACAGGAAGGCCTGAAAGACCTGATCCAAGAAAGATTGCACCCTTTCCAGGAGGGCCCCTTTGACCTGCTTGGCTTTCCAGACTGACCTGTCATGGCAACATGCAGACCATCGGCTTTTATCTTCTTTTGCCTCTGCTTCAACAATGGAATCTTCTGGAGAGGGAAGGTTAGAGGTATTTTTAGTCTGCAAGAGGACACAGATGGGAGAACAGGAGCCATGACTACTCTGACAACAAGGGACAAGGGTCACGTATGGATTACATGGCTCTTCTGTGTTAGAACAAGATTGGGCCTGGCTGAATTGGCTAAACGACAAGAGTACTTCCTGGGAGCTTTAATCCCATTTTCCAATACCAGCTGGTCTGTGGTGTTTTCTAGGTGAATGCTTCTCTGCCTCTAGTCAGCTAACTGGTTGTGGTGTGATCTGTTGGCATCTTGGAAGAGTTGCTACTGACATCCAGAATGCAATGAACACATTTTAGATTTTGTTAAAGAGACACTCAGAGGTGCATACACTTTTCAGGTCTGGAGAGAAACTTGGAGACCATCTAATCCCACTCCTTGTCACATAACTGGTTCAGCAGAAGTGACTGCTGGAGATTACATGGTTAATTAATGAACTTGAAAGTGAAGCTCAGGGCTCCCTCTTTCACAGACAGCAATGAAACACTTTATTCTTCAATGTTACAATTTGGATTCCTGTCCTCTGGTCTAACTACACGATGTAAAGGCTCAGGATTTTGTTTCCTGTGCTTTTTTTCCCCCTTAGGAAGAACTTTGACTGCTTTTTTGAGATATCTGTAGTCAAACTGGGTGGAATGATATTTTAAAAAATATTTTATTATTTTTATTTTTTGTATACAGGCGTATTGCTTGCATGTAGGTAGGTGCACCCATGCTGTGCAATGCCCACAGAGGTCAGAAGAAGGCATTGGATCCCCTGGAACTGGAGTTATGAGTGGTTGTTAGCCATTGTGTGGGTGCTGGGAATCGAACCCCAGTCCTCTGCAAGAGCAGCCAGTGCTCTTAACTGCTGTGCCATCTCTCCAGTCTCATGAATATTTCTTACACAAGATGAAGGGCACTCAGGAAGACTTGGGGTACCCTCGGTTCACCTTTGGAGAGCAAGCACACTGTAAACTATGGTACCCTGAGCATCCTTCCTTGCTTGCCCTCCATCCTTCTTCTTGCCTCTACCCCTCTTTCCCTCCTTTTTCTCTTCCTCCCACTTCACCCTCCTGAGCTCCCTCCCCTGCACTGGAACCTGCTGTTTGATTTCTCCTTGGATTTTCCTTAGGCATAAGGACGAGCTAGAGCTCTGTCCCCAACAGCAAATTCCTCATTTCTTTTTGCTTCTTCTTTCTCTCTTCCCACCCCCGCTTGAGCTTTTGTTTTCCAAATTGTGGGTCTATCAGAATTAATGAACACATTAGTGTACTCCATATCGAGCGCTCACTGAAATAATTGTGTTTCTAAATCAGCCAACAGCGCCATGTGATTTGAGTCTCTGGAGAACTGCCACTGTGGTACTGCTTGGTAACCTTGAGAAAGGGACTGCAGAGGGGTTTCACGTGAGACAGAAGCTGCTCCTGGTGTGTGTCCCCCTGGTGCCTTTGTTTCTATTTTGAACATGTTTGGGCCTCTAAGCTGGAGTCAGTGGCTGGGTTATATTGTGTGATCTGTATTCTGTGAGGCTGCCAAGGAAAAGCTGAAGAAGCAATTCTGCTGGCAGAGCAGGTGTCCTGCTTTGAGTTGCAACATAGCTGGTGAGCAATAGCTCACAAATGACCTTCTTTTCCATTTATTAAAGGGCAAGCATTTCTTGGAAATCCATATATTTCATGGAGCTCTAAATCAAGGCTACATCGACCAGGGCCTTCTCCAAATCTCTTGCTCTGACATTGACTCTTATAGACTTGAACATTAAGTCAATCATATCTTCCTCTCAGTTGTTAGGGGCCCCTGTGCATCTCAGAATGGTAAGTGTGGGCTGAATGGGCAGGGTCTGTCCTTCTTAGATGTGATGCTAGGGTTGAGCATGGTATTATATTTCCTTTGTTCCAAGGACAGCGACAGCTTTCCATTGCTGAAAGGGGGAAAAGGCTGGGAGATCTATGTTTCCATCTCACAGAAGGACCACATGTCCTCTTGGTTCAGTTCAGTTCCAGGTGGAGGGAACATGTTTTCTTCCCCCATTGTCTTGACTCTCCAGGTCATGCCTGACTGTCTTAGCCTGGGATTTATACACCCTGCGGATCGGGATAGAAACCACAGAGGAAACACAGGTAGACTGAATGCTCAGGCACAAACCTCAGACCAGGCCTTCTCCTCCCTTCTATTGTCCTGCTCCTCCTGTCCTTCAGAGTTCCCAGTAGGAATATCTGTTTCCAGTACTAGGGGAGCAGGCATGCTTTGGGGGTCTGCCAAAATCTCAAAGGGGACTCCCAGGTGACTCCAGGAGGCAGGAGTGAAAATATCCCAGGGGTTATTCTGCCCAAAGGTCCCTAGAGAAATAAAGATAAATGAATACATACCATACACATGATGAAACCTAGCTTCAAATTAGAGCAAAACTTACTGATAACATGTATAGATCTCCTTAAAACTGAGAAGGCCAACTTAATCTGGCTAAATTCTGCCTTAGTGGTTCTGTAAGAAACAATCATAGGAAAACAGCCTTTGAAAGAGAAGTCTAGGATGCCTCCTACCATATGGGTATGTAGGCTACTCAATATGAACTAAGAACTCAAAGAATAAATTCAAAATAGTCCCAGACCTGCTTCAAGAAGCATAAGCTATAGGATAAGAGATTGTATTGAGGCAGGCCACAGTCCCTCTAAGCAGTGGGTCAGGCTATTTTGCTTACTATGATTCATACATGCCAGACCTTTGCCCACCACAGAGATGAATGTCCCTACCTAGATATGCTCCTTAGGATAAGATAGCTCCTTCTCAAATTGACTACCTTCAATCCATGTCTGAGTTCAAATGCCTTTGATTTTTCTAATTTGGGACACAGTAAGCTGGTGTTATGCTATGGACTGAATCAATTTGTATCTTGAAGCCCTAACCCCTGATGTGACTGCATTTGGAGACAGGGATGCTGGGGAGGTAATTACGTTTAAATAAGGTCATAAGATAGAGGCTTGATCTAGTAATATAGTCTCATTATAAGGAAAAACAGAGAGCTTTCTCTATCATGTGTGAATGCAAGAGGTTCGTGCTCTGAAAGTCAAGAAGAGTTCCAACAGAACCTGGCCATGTGGGGACTGCTATCTTGGACTTCTGAAGCCCAGAAGAGAGAAATAATTGCTCATTAAACTATGCAGTCTATGGGGTTTTTTTTATGGCAGCCTGAGCATACTGACACACTTTACCTTAGAAGTTGTGACTCAATGGAGGCACTATTCCTCTTGCCCTGTTGAGCTGAGGCAAAAGCATATTCCTTACCGATATATGCCCCATCTTTGCTCCACAAACGCACAGTACAGTCGAGGGAGGATGACAGCACAATATTTTCTTCCTCTATCAGCTCCAGGCTAGCGAGATAACAGGGGAGAAAGGATTTGTCAAGGCTGCTTTTTCATGAAAGGGACATTGCATTAAATCAAATTGGAATAGAGAAACCAGATTAATTTCCTGAATTCTAAGAACCATCCTTTCCCCTACCTCCTACCATACCACATTCCCTTCCCGTCGAGCCCCAAGATATCAAGTGAGCTGTATTACAAACCATCTTATGGACGGTCAGTTTGAGTGGAAGAGCAAGAGAGGAAAAGGAATGCCTCTTTCTTGGCACTGACTCCTTTCAACCCCCATAAGAATCCAGACCTACTAAGCTCATGAGTTTGCACTAAGTCATCAGGCCAAATCAAGGAAAACTTCTCGTGAACAAGAAAAGCAAGGACTCCTGTTGTCTTCCTTTGGCTCTGTGTGGGCCGTAAGTATCTTGTCTGTCAGTAGCAGAAAGGAAATGAAGTTTTCCTCTTTTTCTGACCAGTTCAGAGGGATTTTGAAAGGATTGATTTGATCAAACCTTGGAAAGTTAATCTCTCTCATTTATAGATTCTTGAATTCTAAAAGGATGGTACTTACGATGTCACCATGCTGGTGTGAGCCCTCCAGAAGGTCACGGCTATGTGAAAAGAAAGCGTATCTGAGTAGGATCCTGCAGAATGGAGTCAGATCTGGATGCGTGCCCAGTGGGCAGAGGTACTGACATGGTGAGTCATTGGTTTTACTGCATTAACTGTCTAAGTGATCATCAAGCATCTACTATGTATAAGGCCCCCACATAAGCGCTGAGAGTGTATGAAATGGGACCTGTATAACATTCTTACACAGAGATTTTCCTTAGTGCTTTTTTATTCTGCATAGATTTATGTGGTATGCTTGCATGTGTGTATGCATGTTTGCATGTGTGGGCACAAGTGTGTGCAGGTATATACACACATGCATGTGTGAAGGCCAGAGGTTGATGTCGGGTGTTTTACTGTCCACCTTATTCACCGAAACAGCGTCTCTCAATGAATCTAGAAATTCATCTACTCTACCTTGCCCTGGGGGGGGGTCCCTGTCTCTGGCCTCTGAGAGTGCTGGGATCACAGGTGGGCCACCATGCCCACCTGGCTTTTATGTGAGTGCTGGGGATTTGAACTACTAATAGTTATGCTTCCCATTATAGATAGAGTTTTTGGATGTGAAATATCCCTGGCGGCCTGTATGTCAAAGGCTGAGTCTTCAATTTGGTGCTATTGGGAGGTAATAGAAAATTTAAGGGGTGAGGTTTTGTGAGAGGTTTATAGGTCACTGGGAATGTGTGGTGCCCCCATCTCTTCTTTTTCTTTTTCTTTACTGGTCATAAGGTGAGCAGCTTTGCTTTATTAAGTGTTCCCACCATGATATGCTACAACAGACCTGAAGCAACAAGATCACTTGGGTCATGGCTAAGGACTCCACAAATGTGAACAAAGTGAACCTTTTCTCTTTATAAGTTGATCATCCCAGGTACTTATTACAGTTCAGAAAACTAACACATATACTCCCAGTAGTCAGGATTAAAAATAAAGGCAAGGCAGATCCTTCTCATTTCTCAATTCTGATTTCTCTTAGTTTGCCACTGAAACTTTTTCTATGGTTGAACAAAAAGTATCAAGCACAGAGACCATTTGGCTTTAAATTGGCTTTCAAGAAATGTATTTTATGGACAATATGATGACTTAAAAATGAAGTAGAGAAAATGTGTTCATTTTAAAAATTGTCTAAGAGACAAAGAAGAATAAGTTCTGAAAGTTAGGTATTGCTGTGTATGTGCCCCTATACATGTGTATATATGTATATGTATACATACTGTTTCTAGAAGGAAATTCAGAGTCATTTAATAGTCTCATCGAGAAGTAGAAATGGAGGTTAGGGAGGTGAGGGGCAGGTTACTTCCTGTTGTTTGCATTTTAATTTCTAAACATGAGCACGTTTATAATTGTATAAAAAGAGTTTTTAACTTTTAACACATTTTTGTCACTGCCAAAGCAGTGTGTATGCAAAAGAAAAGGCAGCTTTTCAAAAAGCAGAGGATAAAAATATCTGTAACTTCATCTATAAAGAGATAACCTTTGTTAAAATCCTCACACACATCTTCTTAGATGTTTAATCTTGCATATACTTTGCTATACCAAAGAGAATGATGGTGTAATGCCATTTTGTGATTTGGGTGGTTTCCAGTTAACCATTTATCGTGAATATTTTTCCTGTGAATGCATTTACATGTATAGCATCATTATTTAATGGTTAAATAATGTTCTAATATAGTATACCATTGTGTATTCAGTAAATTCCACTTATGTTGGATATGCAAATTGTCCATTTCTCTCTCTCTTATAAATACCGTGTTGCACAATCTTGTAAGTAAAATCTCTGTGGACATTTGTCATTTTCTTCACCAAATCTCTAGGGTAGAATTGCCATTTAAAGCATTAGATACATATTGTCAACTTTCCCTTCAAGAGTGTGATGCTCTCTTTGCTGAATTCTTGCTGACATCAAATGTTTTCTATAAAATATTTTTCTACATATATGCTTTCAAAAGTGTTTAAAAGACTCCCTCACTACTGGTACAATTTCATTTCACCAACAAGAACATTGTACTGGCACCAAAGCAGTCTCACGGTAGGGTTTAACATGAAGAAATTCCCAGCCTACTCTTAGGAGCCTGCAGTTCTGGTCCCTGGAGGCCGTACTCCTGGATGTCACAGACGTGCACAAAGCCCTGCTGGTCAGCCAGGTAGGTGAGAGTGTCTCCTGTTGTTACTGCGATGCTGCTCACCTGGGCTTTCCCTCTGGACTGAGACACACAGAGTGGCAAGATTGGTAAAAAGGAGACTGGGATTCCCCTCCCGCCCCAATCCAGTTAGAAATGCCAGGAAGATAACAAAGCAAAGAATTGGAGCCTAGCAGACAATCTTCTGTTATACAGTCTAGTGTCTGGAAACAAACAACTAACCAACTAAACAAACAAACAAATAAACAAACCCACAGCCAAGACATTACCCAAATGACCATCCAACTTACAGGAGTGAAGTTAGCAATGAGGCCAGCCCCACTGAAGAGCTTCCAGAAGGTGACAGAACCTGAGTGGGATGGAAGTAGGAAGGAGCCAGCTGAGCCCAGCCAACCGAGGCTCTGAGTATGTACGGAGCAGACCTTGTGGTTCCACACCAGAGGCAAACATCTCTTTCTTATTTGGTCTATTTCCTTCAGTTAGAATTATAAAGCTACACTGGGGAAGGCTTTTGATTTTGATGACCAAGTGGAATCTCTTCCACTAATCAGGTCAGCCTTGCTGGCAGAGAGGGGCTCCAGCTTTGGCTGTGGAGGAAAGTACACTGTGTGCCATGCTGGTAATTAATGTCTTTGATGTGTGCATGTGTGCATGCGTGTGTGTGTGTGTGTGTGTGTGTGTGTACAAATTTAAATACACTACGAAACTTGCCTAGTCAAACTCAGCCTATGGTTTATATGGGGTTTAGGTAGCAAGCCTTTGGGAAATGAGGACTCCATGCATATCATTTCCTCATGAGAACTCCTTAAGCCATCACTGTGGAACCCTGCTCTTCTCATAGGAGAGAGGAGGTGCTGTGTACTCCCACTAGCTAAAGCAGAAGACATGCTGATGACTCAGAGAGGAGGTGGAGAAGTTGCGGGGAGCAGCACCTGGTGCTGATAAGATCTGCACTGTGCAACTGGGACAAGGAATCCTCTGTGGCCTCTCACCAGTGAGAACACAAACAAGCAAACACCCGGACCAAATTCACCCAGCTCGGCCTTCCCCACTACCAGGTGCCTTTAACTTGCAATTTTACTTAAAATCCTAGCACTTTGGAGCTAGATTTGCGCCCACTTGGAGGTCATGTTCTTGGGTTAATATCACCTAGCTAGATAATGGTCCCTGCTGGGCCTCCATTTGCTCCTTTGTAGACTGTGCCAGCTCCACAGATGACCTCAGCAGCTTGCCCGCTCTCCACTATGTGGCCCTTTGCCTTTCTTCTGGATCCTTCGTCAGGCTGCCTATGGCAGCTTTCCATGAAAGGTTGTGCTCAGTAAATTTATATAACCTGATTAAACGGTGTTCATCTGGGCCTCACATTCTTCTCGGGATAGCTGGAGTCCATCTTGCCTGCAGCTGGCCTGGAGCCCAGCAGGCAGTGGGCAGCAGGAGCAGCAGTGCAGGGAGACTTGATTTGGAAAATGGGTTGGGGTTCTAGCTCCCCACATGACTGCCCTTCTGGAGGGCAAGCTGAGGCTGGAGCAGGCTCAGGTGTTAGCCTGGGCTCTGAAGAGAGCATGAGGCCAATGATGAAACAGCAGAGGGAGTCTGAGGTGGATAGTGGCACTCAGGCACCTTCCTCATCCATCTGGAGCTTGGGATGGCCTTGTCTTAGAAATGAGAGACCTCACCTCCAGGCCCATTGGTGATGAGGGATGCGGCTGCTGGGTCCAACTTGGCTGCCCGAGTCTTTAAGAAGGCGAGGCGGGAGACACTTCTGTCTAGGCCTGGGAATGAAGGATAGAGAACCCTTTGGCTTGTTTTTACAATAATCTCCCTGCCTCCCACCAACTCAAACCACAGCTTTCAAAGGCAGCATTTGGAAAGCAAATGGAGCAGGGTTCTTCCCTGGATAAGAACACAGCCGAGGAGAATCGGACAGAAAGGCTAATGACTCCAGCAGCTCAAGGTACCTGAAGTTATCCCCAGAACCCCAGGACTTCTAGAAAAAGGTAGGGAATGGGAACGTGGCATGAGCTACAAGGAGAGACTGAGATCTGAGAAACCTAATCAGCATAGATAGCCAAACACTCTGGGATCAGGGTGGGCACTAGCCTAGGATGATCAGAAACCTCCCCAAAAGTGCTCTGAATGGGAATAATTCTGAGTAACTTTCACAGCACCTTTAATTAAACACAGACCATCCTTCACCCATACAGTGGTGGATTGTTACTCTTGTCAGAAGAGGAGGTGGATATTTAAGTGAAAAGATCTAGATGTTCAAGACTTAAGATACTCATTCCTTCACTTATTTTTCACTTACATCTAAGCATGTCTTAGGGGTAAGGACTTGTACTGAGTGTGGGACAAGAAACAGCAGCAGAGATGCAAAGTAAACAAACAAAGCTCCTGGAAAATGAACAAAATGCTGCTGGCACATGAGGAGGGGACAGAACCAGAGGTGTTTGTTCTGGACTCTTGGAAGATGGATCAGGCAGAGAAGACACTACAGGGGAGGCAGGTATCAAACCAAGACTCTACTAACACTGATAATTCCTGAAACTCTTAGTCCAACCCTACATGCCCAGAGTTCCTCTCCTCTGCCTGGTTTGGGGGCTCTTTATCCTTAGTCTTCAAGTGGTGCTTAGTACACAGAACTCAAATATTTGCTGTTAGATAAAAATCCCATGGATCTACCTAAATTCAAACCACCAAGAGCCACAAAGAACATGTTTATTTGTACAACAGGAGTCTGGGCAAAGTACCCCTTTTCTCTGAGTCTCCCTGAGCCAGGCCAGGGCAGGGGTATAGAGAGGAAATGGATAGTTGTGTATAAATAAGGGGCTGCTAGGCACTGGATGCATATGGCTCCCAATAGTCATCTGTTAAAACCCCAATATACAATATAAGGGTATTAGGAAGTGGGGTCTTTGGGAGGTCATAGAGGTATACAGGATTGAGTCCTTATAAGGGGCCCCACAGAGCAGCCTGTCAGCAGTCTATAATAGGAGGAGAACCCAACCATCTTGGACTTTAGATTCCAGAAGTATGAGAAATAAATTTTTATTGCTTAAAAACTATCCAGTGTATGATGCTCTGTTGTAGTAACCTGAACAAACTAGACAAACATTACATAGAGAGCTGGGTGCTAGAGCTGAATACAGGAAGTTGTGCTTCTATGTGTTACTATGTGACTCAGGTTGTAAACTATTTAATAATACTTGTTTAGACCTGACTATTGGCCTAGGATATATACTCCACGCACAGAGGTAGACACAGAAGATCAGGCCCTGCCTTTCTGTGGATGTTGGTCAAAATCAAGATGTCCACTTCAGAGACTTGTCTCATGTGCCGGGCACTTTCTCACATGACCATACTTAACTACCACAATCCCAAGTAGGCCTTGTATTGTGACCTTACAGGCAAGCATGCTGTTTAGAAAGGTATCACAGCTGCCAATGGAGAGGCTGAAACTCAAATCAAGACCATTGTCTCTGAAGCCCACACATCTGACACCACACTGTGTGAATGCCCTTAGAGACCTGCACTCTCTGAAAGGCAGGATGGAATCACCTGCATGATGGTGTGGCCTTACCAGGCTCCTTGACTCCAGGATCCTCCTTGAAGCCTGGAAGACGGTGCTGGTAATTTGGGCTAAGCATTAGTTATTCCTGGTAGTCTCGTGCTATTGGGAGTGTTAGACTAAGGGACAAGCTGGGACAACGAGGGAGATTAACTCCCTTTACCTGTTCATGTTCATCCCAGGGAAGGCTGCAGAGGCAGAAAATGGTGAGGTGTGTTGGCTTCCTCATATCCATGCAGGGTCTGGGGGTGTATTTAACTTCCCTGCACCTCAGCCATGCTCATTCATCACATGGGGATGACCTCCTTTTAAAGCAAATCAGGAGTCCCTAGGAGAGCAGTGCCGCATGACCTTGCTGTGAAAACTGAAGGGATTAATGACCCTAAAATGCCTTTCAAAGTTGCTCAACCAATGGCAGTTGTTATGATGGCTGTTGTTTAACTCTGTAGTGTATGTTCCTGGTTGATAAAATGGGTAGACAGCACTTGCTCTCAGGGTCAATGTGAGTAGTAAATAAAATAAAATAATCACATGAGAAAATGACTGGAGAGGTAGCCAGTGAATATTGCTGTATTGCTTTCCTAGATAAAACTCCTTCGTCTTGGAGTGAACTGACAGGTTTCTTGAACCTTGGCTTGATGGAAACCTTTGGTCTCTCTCACAATCAAATTCTATTTGATGTGGAAGAAGAAATAACAATCTCTATTATGAGAAAGGATGCAGCTAAACTGTTTTTGAGTTGGCAGAAACAATGTTTTCAGTGAGTTTAGCTTTACCTTGCTATTTCACTAACCCTTTTTCTGAAAACTATCCAGTTTTCCAAATAAGATGGTATCTTCCTCACCATCACATGTATGAAAGATCACTGGGTTTTGGTCTGATTGTCAAGAAGGCCATGACTACTCCTACCTGGAAGGGTGTGGGACTCTGTCATAGTCCCACCTCGCAGAAGTGCAGTTTCTGGGGACTATGGGTGGCTCTACAATTCTGCCGCAGAAGGCTTTCTCCAGAAAAGACTGTTTACAGTCTTCATAACTCCGAGCAACCAATGCTGCTACAAACAGTTTCACATTGGAACTGCCTCCTGGAAGGGCAGCTTACATTCTTGCCAGTGACTTTATTTTCATTTTAATGTCAGTGAAAGGAAACTTCTAGATTGAAAAGTTGGCATCTTTTCCCTCAAAGATTTTAAAATCTCTTAGATGTTCTCAGAGTTCTGTAAAATAATCTTTTCAAATATATGGAGAAATAGGGAATAGGAATTGCCTGGATGATGAGTCTACAGGTTAAGAATTCCTTCCAACCTCTTGGTTTCCAGAGCTTTCCAAACTGACCACATGGCTTTACTACTATTTTACCTGCCGGAAACCCACAGCCTGCCTCTGCACTTAGACCATGAGCCCCTTGAAGGTGGCACTGGGCCTTATAGCGTTGGCTCTCTTTCTTTTTCAGAGCTTAATGTCTCTGGGAGAAGCTCAAAGATATTTTTTGATTGAATGATTCAGAGATTTAAAAAAAATGTTACTGAGCTATCAAATTGCTATTGCAGGGCTCTAATCTGGGCCCACAGTTCTCTAAGGATTTTCAAGTTGAGACTCAGGAAATGTAAGAACTTCCTAATTTTTTATGAAAAAAAAAAAAAAAAAACAAACCCTAACTCCCTGTATCTCCTCTCTTGTGACTCCATAGTAGATGCTATTCAGACTGCTGCTTGGGAAGGGTGCACCTAGACTTTCGGGGGAATGGAGGAGAAGGAAGCTCATTCGGCTATGGGCTATAGCCAGATTCATGACCCTTCACATCCAGCAGTGACCCTGGTAGATGTCCCAACTCACCGCTTGTTCTTCATATGCATTTTTAAATGATTTAGGGTTTGTCAGGAGAAGAATGTGCTTGCCAGCCTTAAGTCCCACCCTTAGTATTGTACCAGGCACATTGTAGGAGTTCATAAGCAGGTTTTCAATGAATAAAGGGATGAATAAAACCATGATCACATTAGCAGAAAGAGAGGACCTTGAAGAAATGGAACCAGGCAGACAAATCAAGGAGAATGGGAGTGACATTTTGCAATAGGATACTCAAGCAGTAAAGACAGATTGAGGTCAGAGCTCTGTTGGTCATGGGCCATGAGAAGAGGCAGAGGATGAGGACAGCACAGGAGCCTGAAGCCTTGCAGTTGGAAGAGACATTGAGGGGATGGTGTCTAGGCTGGGCTTGGGAGCAGGCTTGCTAGCTGGTTGGAAGAAGCAGCATGACTCGCAGTTGGCAATAGAAAGCAGAGGATCAAGAGGAAGAGAGGTTCCAGCAGAGTTGGGGGGCTCAGGGGGAACATTCTTCAGGTTAGAAGCAGACAAACAAAGGCCTCCCAAAGGTGATGGATTGGCCTGTGAGATGAACTTGGGTAGACAGGTGCCTAGGGATGTGGGCTGAGCTTTTGAACTCTTAAGCTCCCTCCCAGCTTTGGGAAGCTTTATCTGACAGGGCAAACCTGAAACAAAGCCAATACCTTCTAAGTGGGAAGTGGCCGCAAACTGAGACGCCTTCAACTTGCCTAGTTCAAGCTGATAGGGGCCTGTGCACAGAGGTGACAGAGCTTGTCCTTCACCTACCTTCTCTATGATCCACGACATCCAAGGGGCTGGGAGTGTTCAATTTGCAGTACATGTGTCCTGAGATGACATTCCAAACTATAATCTCCCCATCAAAGCTGGAAGTGGCCAGAAGAAAAGGTGGGCACTGAGCTACACAGAGGATGTCCTCCTTGTGCCCATGGTTCTGAGAAAGACAGAAAGACAGAACTAAGAAATCAAGTTCTCAAATCACACGCAGCAGTTTTCCTTCATTTGATCCCTAAGGAAGGTGCAAAGCAGTTCTTCCTTCTCTGAAGCCTCTGCTTCTCCATGTGGGAGGCTCTCTGGAGGTCAGCCTGAACATTTCTGAATCTCCATGGTCCAGGGCCCGCTTTCTGAAGGAAGCATTACCCTGGCAACTTCCTTACTTCACTGTCCTGCTAGCAAGCAGGCTGTTGATAAGGTGCCCTCATTTGGGATGCATGATGATAGTAGTGGGACAATAGAACACAACCCATGGCCAAAGTGGTTTGGTTTCTCAGAAGCCAGAAAACCACATGCCAGGGAAGAGTGACTCACGGGGCTCCCATCTGCCTTCCACCATGACTCAACTATGTTGATGGGAATTGGAGCTAGGTGTCCCCCTCCAAATGGATAGGCACCATTACTAAAAGTAAGAACCTAAAACAGGTCTGTGAAGTTGAACAAAAGAGCCCCTGGCCACCAGCGTTTTGCCTTTCTCACTATGGACAGTTGCTGTGTGAAGGCAGTTGGCTTTTCTCAGCCCTAGAAAGATATTCTTTTACCTTTGTCCTCATATATTTTCCACAGAGTGTCCCTGTGAACCTGCCCATGATCACCTAAGATGACCTGTCTGCCTGAACACAGATTATGCTGTGAAACTTTTGGGGAAGAGGAAACCAATGGTCATCTCCTTCCCATGATCCTCTACCCACTTCTACCCCACTCTTCCACAGTATGTTGGGCACTTAGGTGTCTTACTCTAACTGCAGAATAAAATTTACCTATTTGTTCTGGGCTGAATGTTTGTGTCCTATGCCCAAATTCACATGTCAAATTCCTAACCTGGGACTGGAGAGATGGCTTAGTGGTGTAGAGCACTGGCCACTCTTGCAGAGGACCTGCATTCAGCTCCTACCTCCCATGTGGTGGCTAACAATCATCCATAACTTTAGTACCAGGAATCTGACACCCTCTTCTGGCCTCTGCAAGCATTGTACACATGGGCGCATTTACATACATGCAGGCAAAAACACTCATATACGAAATAAATAAATAAACAAATCTAACCCCCCAAATGGTGATATTTAGAGATGTGGTTTTAGGAGGTTATTGGGGTTGAATGAAGTCATGAAGATGGGTTCCTCATGGTGGGATTAGTGTCTATATAAGAAGAGGAAGAGGCATACGGCCCACCCTCTCTCTGCTATGTGATAACATAGCAAGAAGATGTAGATGGTGACCAGCTATCTATCAATAAGCCAGGAAGGGAGACCTCACCAAAACCTGACCCTGCTGGCACCCTGATCTCAGGCTTCTCAGCCTCCAGAATTGTAAGCAATTAATTTCTGTTCTTAAAGCTGCCCAGTGTGTGGCATTTTGTTAAGGCAAGCCCCAGCAGACCAAGATAATTCATTAGTATATCTTTCAAGCTCTTAGTTTTCTAGCCTCAGTTCCCTTCTATACATGATGTGCCAGCCTTTCAAATCCTCCACAGTCCTCCCACACAACATAAACCCTCCACAGTCCTCCCACACAACATGAACCCTCCACAGTCCTCCCACACAACATGAACCCTCCACAGTCCTCCCATTCAACATAAACCCTCCACAGTCCTCCCATATAGGATGAACCCTCCACAGTTTTCCCATACAACATGCTTCTGTGCTTCCAGGCTTTGTTCACACTTCACTCCCTGCTTGTCATCTAGATTGTCTTTCCCTTCTGGAAAAGTCCTAGTAATCTTTGATATCCCATATAATATTGCAGCAAAGCTAGTGCTCCTCAAGTGTTTTCTACATGGTCCTATTACTATTAGAGTGCATACTTATCATTTCCTCAGCTGCTTATCCTCTCATGTGTCTGTGAGCATCTCATAAATCACATTTGTATCTTCTGTGCCTGACAACTGAAGGCAACAGTATGCAAATACTCAATAAGTATGTGTGAATGATGGAAAGCTAAATGAATACATACTTCACTGACCCAAACACGACTTCCAAAGGCCGTGGCTTCCCCCAGGCATCTCATGTATCATCTTATTATTGCCTTCAGCATTCACTCAACTATAAGCTTCGTGAAGGTAAGGCCTTTATTCTTTGATAAATAGAATATATTTGGTCTACAAGAAGCATTTATTAGATGCTCACTGAATGAAAACATATTCACTGGTCAACTACTATAGCTAGGTATTGGAAGAGGCCCTGGGAAGACTGCAGTGAAACGACAAATGAGGTCTGTCTTCATGGAGTTTGTATTCTAGTGACTTGCACCTTTGGAATATTTGTAGGGGACAGAAGGTAGGTAAGAGGTGGCAGACATTTCAGCACATTCTTGGCATTTGTCTTAGTGCCTTGGCATCCAGACTATTTTAAAGGAAGTCATTCAGTCCCAGGAAGCTGTGGAAAGTTGGGGGCATTTTGGTTCCTAACAAGCACCACAAGCAGTTCCCTGGCTCTGGGCCTCTAACAATATACAGGGTGGCAGGAGTGTTATCCCCTAAGCTCTTCGAGGCTTGAGGATAGTACCCTGAAGACAATTTGTCTCACCAAGCAAAAGCAGCAAGTGGATGCTTCTTGGAGAAAACCACCCCCCACCAACCCTGAGCCTCCGGCCCACCAGGACTTCCAGTTGGACCCAGGGAAACTGCATGGACTCTGCCCCTCAGGCCTCACACCCCAACTTGAACATGGGGCCATCACTTTTCTTAGAGAGGAGGTAGCTGCCTGGATCTCAGTCTCTACATGGGCCTGGATTCTGCCATAGCTTCTGAGAAGCTGAGCATGTGTGGCAGGACCAGGAAATGCAGGAGAGCCGTTTGAGTGAAGGAGATCCTTATTGTTGTGTGGACTGAGAGCCAGATAGTGGGTCAGGGCTCACCAGGTCATCCTGCCAACATGGCTGAGGCTTCCAGAAGTGATGAAAGTCACGTGATATGTCCTGTATCCAAAGCCAAAGAGGACACATTGTACAAGCAATAAGATGAGCTGCCAACACACAACTTCAGAGAAAAGGTGTTGGTACATTTCATAACCCTACCCCTCACCCCACCACTGATGCAGATTTTTGAAATGTCAAAGCAAATTCCCCTAGTGCCAGTGGGAATAAAAAGCAATCCACTCCTGACGTTTGGGTGATTGCATTTCAGCAAATCATATGTCAGCTGACAAGCTCTCCTTGGATCTGTTGCATAGCTTTGCCTTCATAATAAGACCCAGAGCTGTTGCATGTGCTAAACCCAAAGCCATCAGCCCAGGAACCTGTAATACCAAAGGACAAATGCAATGCTGAAATTTCTCAGGTAGTCATCTCTCAAATCACTCTCAGGATGCAAGGCTTAGGCTGTGAAATATAGTGAACTTTCAAATGAATCAAGAGAACTTACAGCATTTAAAGGCATTCGGAAATCCAGGACCACCCAGCATAGCAAGCAGGGTAATAAAATGTCACAGGTAGATTTAAAACTTAGCCTTAGGCAGTACTTTAAACTCTGTCTCTTAATCCTCTCCCTGTATCTAAGTCATAAAGAGAAATTTCTTGTCTGTAGAGATGCTTACAGATGGCATTTCACTTCCTCTTTCTGGTTAGAGAGGCTCTAAGACATTTTGAAGGTAAAAGCTGGTCAGCTGGCCTGGTTAGACTTCAGCTGGGATGTGCGCTTGTGCAGAGGAGCGAGATCCTGCAGGCTGGGGAGGAGGGCCCAGCAGGGGTGCGGGGGTGGTGAAGCTTGACAAGGTATGAGTCAGGAGCAGAACTACTAAGCTGCAGGTGTGCACGAACAGTCTGGCTTGATCCCCTGGAGCCCAGAGGTCCCCCCCACCCCACAGCACATCTTCTCTGTGGGAAATATTGGGAAGTAACTGAAGTTAAAAAAAAAAATCTTTTAAAATAAACAAGAGAGGAAAGGATAAAGAGAAATTAAGAGAGGGAATCCTGTGCATATCACAACTTGTCTTACACCAGGTAGCAAAGGCACTCTCAAATCGAGAGAGAGAGAGGGAGAGAGAGAGAGAGACAGAGAGAGAGAGAGAGACAGAGACAGACAGAGACAGACAGAGACAGACAGAGAGAGAGAGACAGAGAGAGAGGAGAGAAAATAAATCTGAAAGGAGGGTTTTGAAATGTCATTAGTTGGTACATTTCACTTACAAAATACATGTTTATTCTTCTGTCCCATCCAACAGCTATGATACACCTAAGAGGACAACAGAACGTTAACTTTCAGTGTGTAAACTTTTCATCTGTTTACTTTCTGCATGGAATCAACACTGTGGTTGGACTGTGCCATATCCATGTGATAAACTAAGAGCTGAGAACCCAAGTTCTTCTGCTGCTTATGAAGAACAAGGGGAAATGTAATTTGAAAAATCAGGGTCAGTTTTTAGCTGGTGCTTAAAGGATCAGGACACAAGCAGGACATCCCATCATTTCTGAGGTCCACAGATCCTCCGTGGGAAGCTGCCTTTCTGAGGATTGCCTGTTCCCCAGAGCATGGCTGAACCACAGGGGCAAGACCACTCACAGAAACTGACCAAGGAAATTGCTTTACCCTTGTAATGGTCAGGAAGGAATTACTGGATTTCTGTTCTTTGATTTATAGTGGTTGAATTTACTTGCTCTAGTCTCTGATTTGTTTCTTACTAAAGCACTTGGTGGGGTGACATGGCACTTTCTATGTCAATTTCTAAACAGTTATCAAAAGATGCAGAGATTTACTTCAATGCTCTGGAAGAGCCTAGTTACCTAAACCACCTCCAGGAAGTAACCAGGGTCCTCTAAAATGCTTAGACACATTTTATTATGGAAAATTCCCTTTACTGTTATTAGGGTTTGTATCTCTTAAAAGGCTCAGATGTTGAAGTCTTGATTCCCAATTAGCGGGTGATTGGATTATAGGGTGCTGACTTCTTCAGTGGGTCAAACCATTGATGAGTTCATAGCTGAATGGGTTGTTAGAAGGTGGGGCGTAGTTGGAAGAAGTGGGTCACTGGGGGTGAACCTTTGAAGGGTATATTTTGTCCTTGGCTTCTCTGTGTTTCTCTCACTTTTCTTCTGTGCTGCCATGAACATCTCCTCTCTGCCATGCCTTTCTGCCATGGTGTTTCTACCTTAGCACAGGCTTAAGAGCAATGAAACCCACTGATGATGAACCGAGACCTCAGAAAATGTGAGCCAAAACAAATCTCCCCCCCCCCTTAGCTTTTTCTTTAATCTCAGGTATTTTGTCATAGCAACAAAAAGCTAACCATACTGATTTTTTTTTCCAACCAGGACAAAAAAGATGTCCTATTAAATACAACCCAAGCTGAATATAACTCACCTATTTTGGTTCACCTCCATATAGGTACAATCACAGACTTCAGTTTGTTTTTCATCTGGAAATATATTGCCACCTATGTCAAACATTTTTATCAACTCTTGAATCATCTTACATATGTTGACCTCATCTACCTGATGATCAAGGAAGACTTCATCATTTACTTTCTGATTTTTAGCACACAGTCAAATGTCACCTGAGGCATTAAAGCACTGTTCATTTGTAGCCATATGCCCTGTCCTACAATGTTGATTCTGCCCTTGATCAGCTACAGGAAGAGAGAAACTCAGCTTCTCCTCAAGTCTCCCAACAGGACCCAGTAGCATATGACATGTGTCAAAGCAGATTTTGGAGTGAGTCTCATGACTTCAGTTTCATGTCTCTTTTACTCTGACGTTATTATTTCCCTCTATAGTGGAAGAATGTATATCTTATCTGCTCTGCAGGAGTTTTACAGGCCAGTATCGGGAATTTTTTTTTTTTTTTTTTTTTTTTTTTTTTACCAAGAATAGATATAGCAAATGGCTTGGGACAGGTAGGGAGATTCATAATAAGAGACTCACTTTTAATTTGTCAATTTATGACTTATGTGATTATGTCCCTTTGAAACACAAGTTCAGAGTCATTAAGTAACATGAAATGCAGAGAAAAAAGATGTGGAGGTCTTACATAAATCCTAGGGTCTGTCTCACTTGATTTTCCATTTAAGACAAATGCCCAATCAGTACTTTATGGGGACCACTTGCAGGAGTTCCCAAGCCTCACTTGCCATTCTGAAGGGTGTGTAGACAGTGTCCATTGTTGTAGCTCCATATTTTCACACAGCCATCTCTGCCCCCAGTAATGAGCCTAGGAAACAGAGTGTCCCACTAGGACGACATGGCACATGCCATCCTGCTGAATGGTTCATAACACTAAGGAAAAGATGTACCTTCTTCCGCTGGAGTCAAAAGTCAGACAAGTGATGCTAGTGTTGCCATGAGTCCCCCAAAATTCAGACAACTGTCTTCCTGTTTCAAAGTCCCATACTTTCACCATCTGTATAAAAAGTTGAGAGAAAGATGACATAGAGATAATGGTTATCAAATCAAAGGGAATTTGTATTTAGAAGTCTAGTAACATTGATATTAAAGATGAAAGTTCACCTTGAACATCTCTGTACTTCCATACACATTGATTTATTTGAGTATATTATTCATTTGCTAGGACTACCATAGCAAATAGTCACTGACTAGATTGCTTCAACAACAGCAATGTACTATTTCACGGTCTGGAGGTTTGAATCAGGCTCAAGGTGTTGGTTAGTGTTAATTATCAACTTGACACAATCTAGAATCACCTGGGAAAGGTATCTCAATGAGGGATTGTCTAGATCAGGAGCTTGGCCTATGGGTAAGCATGCTCATGAGGAATTTTCTTCGCTGGGCTGAGGTGGGGAGGTCCACCCTGAATGTGGGTGGCATAACCGTGTATGCTAAGCCCTGGACTGAATGAAAAGGAGAGAGGGAGTTAAGCACAGGCATTCGACACTCTCTTCTTCTTGATTGTGGAGGTGATGTGACTAGTTGCCTGGAGCTCCTGTTGCTGTGACTTCCGGGCAGTGATGGACTGTAGCCTGGAACTGTGAGCTCCCCTAAGTTGCTTTTGTCAAGGTGTTTTTTTGAAGCTACTGAAAAAGAATCCAAGACAGCAGGGTTCATTTCCTCCGGAACTTCTCTCCTAAGCTTGCAAATGGCCTCCTTTCTTCTGTGCACGCATTTATCCGGTGTCTCTTTCTGTTCTAATCTTGTAGAAAAGAAAGAGTCAGGGGCTGGAGAGATGGCTCAGCAGTTAAGAACACTGGCTGTTCTTGTAGAATCCCGGGTTCGAATCCCAGCGCCCACATGGCAGCTAACAACTGTCTGTAAATCCAGTTCCAGGGGATCCAACAGCCTCTTCTGTCCTCTGTGGGCATTGCACGACATGGGTGCACTTACCTATGTGCAGACAATATACGCATACACATAAAATAAAAATAATAAATAAAATATTTTTTTTTAAAAAAAGAAAAGAGTCAGACTGAATGAGGACTAGCATACTAGCTTCATTTTTAGTTAATTGCCTCTTTAAAGGCCCCATTTCCAAAAGGAATCCTTTTACACTGTTGGAGGGAATGTAGATTAGTACAGCCTTTACAGAAAATGGTGTGGAGATTCCTCAAAAGGAACCACCAGATGATCCAGTAATCCCACTATTGGCCAAAGGAATGAAATAGTATGCTGAAAAAATGTTTACATTCCATGCAGCACTATTCACAATGGTCAAGTAAAAGAATCAACCTAAATATCCCCCAATGAGAAGAAAATGTGGTACATAAACACATGGAATACTATTCAGCCATAGAAAGAATGAAACCTTGGCATTGTGACAACATAGAAAGATCATTAACTCAATGAAATAAACCAAGCACAGAAACACAAAGCATTGCATAACCCTCCTCACAGTGTGGAATCTGAAGAAGCTGGTGGAGAAGTTGAAAGTAGAATGTTAGGTACTACAGGCCATAGAGAATAGGGCAAAGGGGAAGGTGGGGGAAGGTTGCTCAGCTGGTGCTAAAATTAGATAGGAGCAGAAAGTTCCCGTGAGCTGCACAACAGGGTGACTAGACATAGAAATAATAGACTGTATATTTCAAAACATTAGGCTGGAGAGATGGCTCAGCAGAGGACTCAAGTTCAGTTCCCATCCATGTTGGGCAGCTCATAATAGCCTGTAACCCCAGCTCCAGGGGATCTGATACCCTCTTCTGGACTCCATGGGCACCTGCACTCACATGTGCGTATACCACCCCCCACAGACACACGCAGACACAGAGACACGTACACATAATTAAAAAACAAAAAAATAGAGAAAAAAGAATTGTGCAAGTTTTTACGTAAAGAATGATACCTGTTTGAGGAGATGGATAATGTTTAAATTGTTTCAAACACTATAAAATATACACTTGCAGGGCCTGGAGAGATTAATCAGTGGGTAAAGCACTTGTGGTACAAATATGAAGATGAGAGTTCAGATCCCTAGTACTCATGTAAATGCCAGCCAGGCACAGTAACCCACCTGTAATTTCAGCACTCAGGAGGCCAAAACAGGATCCCTGGAACAAGCTAGCCAGCCAGACTAGATGAATGAGTGAGTTCTGAGTCAAGTGAAAGACCCTGCCTCAATATATAAGGTACAGAGTGGTCAAGTGAAGAAGACACTTGATGTCAGCCTCTGGCTACCACTGCACAGCACATACCCACCCATACATATGTGATCACACATACACACACCATACACACAAGTACACATAGACACACAAAGATGTCTCCATGTACACATGAATAAAACCCACATGGCACCCTTTACCATATATGGTTTTTAACACATACACACACACGCACGCATACACACGCATGCACGCACATGTACACATGCATATATGGGAGGGGTCGGGGAGAGAATCTCACTATATATCCCAGGTTGTGCTTGAACTCTTGACCTTGCCACCTCGGCCTCCCAGTGCTGGGATTACAGGCACATGGTACCTTTTAAGTTTTTTTTTGCTTGTCTTGCAGTTCTGGGGATCAACCCAGGGCCTTGTGCTTGCTAGGCAAGTACCCTACCACTGATCTGCATCCTCAATGAATTTTTATGATTTTATGTATCAGTTAAAAAAATGAAAGAAAAAAGAAAGGAAGATAAAAGAAGGGAGGGAGGGAAGGAAAGAGGAAGAAAGGAAGGATGGAAGAAAGGAAAGGAAGAAAGAAAAGAAAGAGAAAGAAGAGGAAAGAATCTACAAATAATTACATTCTGAGGTACTAGGTATTAATAATGCAACACATGCCAGGTGTGGTAGTGCATGCATTTAATTCCAGCACTGGGAGGCAGAGGCAGACAGAGCTCTATGAGTTCAGGGCCAGCCTGGTCTGCATAGCGAGTTCCAGGCCACCTGGGGCTACAGGGAGACACTGTCTCAAAAAGACAAAAACCAAAAACGGAAAAGAATGAGAGATATGAATTTGAAGGTATAAAGTTCAGCACTTATGGTGTATAGCTATTTCCTCCAAATTGGAATGCTCCCTCATAGGGGACGGAAGGAGGCTGATAAGACAACCAATCATCCATGCTCCTGTAACTATACCCAGTCATTGGTCATTCTTTGGTCTGTGGTCAGTGCCCTATCTGACTAGACATATGTTCACATCTCCCCAGGAAAAGTCACACACCTTAGCACTCACTGAGAAGATTGGAAGTTTTGAGAGTGTAGAGCACAACACTGAACAGCTAAGTGCAGAAAAATTAAGTGTGGACACAGTTTTAACCAGCAAAATGTATTCACTGTCTGGGTCAATAAGAAAGAGCAACCTGGTTCGGGGGTGTCTGTGTCTTTTAATCTCTCAGCCTTGAGATGTCACTCGGCCCAATGGCTTCCATTCTTGCAGCTACTCTCCGCCCCATCCCTTGAGTAGCCTTTGAATAAGGGTCTCTTCTAAGGAGTCCAGTGTCCTGTTTCTTGATGGCTGAAGTCAGTTCCCCACCCCAGGAAGCATTCTTTGGGATAGGCTTCCTGGAACTAGCTCACAAAGTCTTCTGAAAAGGCAGTGACAATGTGGGAGTAGACATCTCAGAAGTTGCCAAATGCTCCTTCTTAATCTGCCACTTTGTAAAAGTGGGAGTTCCATTGACTTCAGAGGAAGTTTTGGAACTCCAACCCAGAAGCCAGAAGGTGTTCTCTCACTGTTGTGGATTTCAAGTTTCTGAGAACATATTTTTTTCAGTGGTACACATTTGACCTCCTTTCCTCTGCCCCCTTGCAAAGCTATGGTTTCTAGGGATGACTGCCACTCCAAAGCACCCATCCTTTATCATATTGCAAAAGACTCTTAGCATGATTGGGGTTCACCTTACTGGTATTAATGATATTAAGCCATTCACAGATAACTCAGAGTTCTGCAGCCTGCAGCGATTGATAAGGAGCAGGTTTGAATTAAGTGACCGTGAGGCTGAAATGTGAGTCCAGGACCTGCAGCTGGCCTCAGACTCACAGATCTGCCTGCCTCTGCCTCCTGAGTGCTGGGATTAAAAGCGTGGACCACTATGCCTGTCCTCCTTTTGGGGCTCAGGGATCCTGTTATAGGATTAATCAGACACAGCTTTAAGAAAAGTAATGCTAAAGACAGCTATCTGGAAATTAAAAGACTGAAGTGAGGTGAGCAGTGAAAACATCTTTCAAAATGACTTTACTGTTCTATTCATAGAAGCAAGAAAAGTCTAAATGTAATATTTATACTTTTTCAAATAAACCTTACTTGTGCTTTGTAGGGAGAATTCATACTCTAGCAGGTCTCCTTTAAGAATTTAATGGGGGCCGGGTGTGGTAGTGTATTCCTTTAATCCTAGCACTCGGGAGGCAGAGGCAGGTGGAGCTCTGTGAGTTCAAGGCCAGCCTGGTCTACATATTGAGTTCCAGACCATCTGGGGCTACAGGGAGACCCTGTCTCAAAAAGACCAAAACAACAACAACAACAACAACAAACCAAACAAACAAAAAACTTAATGGGGATGCTGGAGAGATGAGCACTGCCTGCTCTTCCAGAGGACCTTGGTTCAGTTCCCAGCACCTACATGGTGACTAAATGTCTGTGACTCCAGTTCCAGGGGAATTGATGCCCTCTTCTGACCTCTGTGGGCATTGTATGCACATGTTTCACTCACATATATGCTGGCAAAACACCCATAAAATTAAATAAATAGATAAATATTTCAAACGAACCTAATAGGCTCAAGTAGTTTTTCCTTTAGCATATATCATCTAATTAGACACATTAAAATATGGAGGTTAGAGAGGTGGATCAGCAGTTAAAGAGTGCTTGCTGTTCTTTCAGAGGACACGAGTTCAGTGTCCAGCACTCAGGTTGGATAGCTCACTTATAACTCCAACCCCAGGGGATCTGATACCCTCTTCTGGTCTCTTTACATATGCATACCTGTTCCATCCACACACAGACATATACATA